CCAATGGATTTGTTTGGGACCTAAACCCCAAGTTTTACCACAAATTCTTTGACATGTCCATAGAGACAGTCTGGCTTCATGTAAAACTTTTTCGAAGTGAGCGTTTCCGATGAGGTGAGAACAAGAGGATGCTAACTTGGTTAGCGAAACCCGCATCGAAAAACGGTGTGATTGTAGAAAATATGAAACGAAGTATTATTACCTATACATGTAGTTTTCGCATATGTGGTTATTCCAATATCAGTATAAAGGTACATTCTAGTTTAAGGTAAAGTCCCCGTAGGAAGCAACTGTGGTGAAAAATTTCCACTTCTTGAAGGGTGATTTATTTGCCCAAAACAATATGTAGAAATGAAATGAATAGGGTCAATTTTTGGTGCACTGTCAAGAGTTGGGTGTTTCACCTAGTTGAAAAATGATACTTATCAAATCTAACCAGTGGCATTGGTAGAAGTAGAAGTCTCAGTACGGTCCGAAAAGAAAGAAAGCCGACATGAATTGTGTATGTCAAATGTCAAGCTACGTTTGTTGTTGATCATTTATTTGTAAATCTATCTAAGAAGATTTTGAACTAATCATTCTTCTTAGAAGCAACATTAACTGTTTCCACACGTCAATAATAAGGGCATGCTAAATGAGAAAGAAGCGAAACCAATTTCGAAAATTCATCATTGTTCGATGTTTCTTTCTGATGTTGAATTACGAATGCTTTGTTTTTGTACTTTGGTTTCATATAAGTAGTTGCCTCATAGTGAATAATGTAGAAAAAGATCGAAACGCTAGACAAAAAAGTTCGAATTACCAATAGACCGCCATGTAGATCCTTGTTTATCTTGGCTAAGCAGGGTTTTCGGAAAATTTTAAATATTTGTGTATCTATATAGATTGCCATCTGAGGTGGAATGATCATATCACACATATAATTAAAAAATACAAATAATAATGTACAAACTTAAATGTTTAAAAAACTTAACTGTGGATTCCTAAATGACGCCTTGATGTGGAGTGAAGTCCATGCCTATTATTCATATTCGGCTAGTTCTTTGATGACAGTTTGTCCAGCAATGCATTCGTGGTTCAGCCTGGTGGCACTGATAAGTTCTATGAAAGGTCGAAACACCAATGTCTGGGGTTGCTTCACGGATGTTTTTGGGCTCTGGTTTCATTTATTAAACCAGAAACGAATTGCGCTAGCATTTTCCAAGATTCTTGTTATCGGCAAGTTATCAAGCAAAAACTACGGGTAAACATACAGGTATTGAATCTGTTTCCCAACGTCTGTGTTTCTTTGTTGTCTTTGCATCATTGATTGTTAGTACTAACTCCCAAACAGTGACTTGAAAAATTGATTACAGCTTTAAACAGAGACATAGACATTGACAGACTCAGACTAGACATATGCATAATCAAGGTGGTACTATTGATTTTGAGCCAAATTATTAAAACTAATTAATACAGTTTACTGTATAATTTTCACTTTAAAGGTCTTTACAAAAACTACAACACGTGTTTCGCTATACAATAGCTTTCTCAAGCGTAAACAGTTTATGCTTGAGAAGCTATTGCATAGCGAAACACATGTCGTGGTTTTTGTAAAACCCTTTGAAGTGAAAATAATCCTCAAGCGTAAACAGTTTACGCTTGAGGAAGCTATTGTATAGCGAAACACGTGTCGCGGTTTTTGTAAAACCATGTAAAGTGAAAATCATCCTTAAGCGTAAATAGTATACGCTTGAGGAAACTATTGCATAGCGAAACACATGTCGCGGTTTTTGTAAAACCCTTTAAAGTGAAAATCATCCTCAAGCGTAAATAGTATACGCTTGAGGAAACTATTACATAGCGAAACACATGTCTCAAGCGTAAACAGTTTACGCTTGAGGAAGCTATTATATAGCGAAACACGTGTCGCGGTTTTTTTAAAACCATTTAAAGTGAAAATCATACAATAAACTGTATCAATTAGTTTCTATTCTATAATACAAGCGTTTTTTGCAATCCTCGAAGCAGTTCTGATATGCATCCCTTGGTATGCCCTTGAGTTCTCTCGGCAATTCAGTTTTTATATCCTCAATCGTCGCAAAGCTCCGTCCTTCCATAAGTCTCTTCAATCTTGCGAACACGAAAAAATCATAGGGGTCAAATCTGGTGAATACGCTGGCTGAGGAATGTATGAAGTGTTCTCATTGGCCAAAAAATTACGAACACCAATGACGAGTAAGCAGGTGGATTAATTGTTTTTCCACAATACCGTATTGCTTCTGGCAAGCGGCGTATAGGTGCGTATTCACCAAAAAAGCGAGCACGAGCGAGCATGAGCGAGCATTCGTGTATGTTTGCTCGTGTTCGCTTCTGTTTGCTCGACATATTGATGTCTCGTCCACACCAGAGCGAATATCTTCAAGTTCGTAGTACCGCCTTCTTCTCGATCTTTTCTGAACGCGAACAAGCATACGTTCGCTCGCTCGCTAGCCCGTACTCACCAGACGATTATTGATGCAGAATGGTCGTTCACTCTTGTTCGCTCGTGCTCGCTTTTATGGTGAATACGCACCTTAAGTACAAGATAATGCTCCTTATCGACCGTACGACCATGTGGCAAGAACTACTGACACACTACGTCATGGTAATCGAAGAAAACAGTAAGGAAAACCTTGACATTTGATCGAACTTGGCGTGCTTTTTTTTGGTCTCTCCTGGGCTCTTCTACTGGGACGATTAGAGTTTGATTCTGATGTTATATCCATATAACCAGTATTCAGCAATTTTGGAACGAATTTGACGATTCTTCATAACAATTTTTTTCATTTTTTGGGAAATAAAGTTTTTGGCTTTCTACTACTCCATCTGATACAAAAAAAAGGGGGGTTGAGAGAATCTTCCAAAGAAAGGAAGGAAGTAATCAATTTGAAACTCTATACATGAATGTGTAGATCATGCAAAGAAGTAACTTTCAGACACAAACTGAAATTGAATTACACGAAAGAAAAAAATTCTTTCGAAACAAATACTTCTATATGAACACTGAATTATACAGAAGATACTTTTCTCTATTCAGTTTGTATATCGATTTTTTTAAAACCATTTAAAGTGAAAATCATACAATAAACTGTATCAATTAGTTTCTATTCTATAATACAAGCGTTTTTTGCAATCCTCGAAGCAGTTCTGATATACATCTCTTGGTATGCCCTTGAGCTCTCTCAGCAATTCAGTTTTTATATCCTCAATCGTCGCAAAGCTCCATCCTTCTATAAGTCTCTTCAATCTTGCGAACACGAAAAAATCATAGGGGTCAAATCTGGTGAATACCCTGGCTGAGGCATGTATAAAGTGTTGTTATTGGCCAAAAAATTACGAACACAAATGATGAGTAAGCAGGTGGATTATTGTTATGCAAAAGCCATGAATTGTTTTTCCACAATACCGTATTGCTTCTCGCAAGCAAAATCATAGGGGTCAAATCTGGTGAATACGCTGGCTGAGGCATGTATAAAGTGTAGTATTGGCCAAAAAATTACGAACATAAATGACGAGTAAACAGGTGGATTATTGTTATGCAAAAGCCATGAATTGTTTTTCCACAATACCGTATTGCTTCTCGCAAGCGGCGTATAGGTGCGTATTTACCAAAAAAGCGAGCACGAGCGAGCATTCGTGTATGTTTGCTCGTGTTCGCCCGTGTTTGCCTGACATATTGATGTCTCGTCCACACAGAGCGAATATCTTCAAGTTCGTAGTACCGCCTTCTTCTCGATCTTTTCTGAACGCGAACAAGCATACGTTCGCTCGCTCACTAGCCCGTACTCACCAGACGATTATTGATGCAGAATGGTCGTTCACTCTTGTTCGCTCTTGTTCGCTCGTGCTCGCTTTTATGGTGAATACGCACCTTAAGTACAAGATAATGCTCCTTATCGACCGTACGACCATGTGGCAAAAACTACTGACACACTACGTCACGGTAATCGAAGAAAACAGAAAGGAAAACCTTGACATTTGATCGAACTCTGCGTGCTTTTTTTGGTCTCTCCTGGGCTCTTCTACTGGGACGATTAGAGTTTGATTTTGATGTTATATCCATATAACCAGTATTCAGCAATTTTGGAACGAACTTCGCATCCTCAGCAACTTCTCTGAGAGATTTGACGATTCTTCATAACAATTTTTTTCACTTTTTCAACATTTTCATCGGTTGTTGATGTGCTCGAGCATCCAGGGCGACGTCATCATTCACATCTTCTCGACCTTCTATGAAAAGCTTGTACCACTTGTTAACATTTTTCTGACTCAGAGTACAATCACAGTATGCCACTGTCACTATTTCAAGTGTTTTGGAGCACTCAATTCCATTTTTTACACAATTTTATGCAGATTCTTCGATCCTTTTTTTTTCGATAACAACAAACAACTGAACATGCTTAACATCTGAAACTAAGACCATATATGTGTGACGAGTGTACCAAGATGAAAAAATAAAAAAAATCGAATGTACTTAGCCCTCTAAATTTGAACATGTACCTTATTTTCTGAAAAGTCGTACAAGCTCAGGGTTCTACAACTACTCCATGAAGATCCTCAAGAATAAGCGTTACATGAAGCTAATTGGGTTTCGAACCACTTTCACTTTGTAATCAAGTGTCGAACTTTCGAGGAATCATGAATTGTTCGTCAAATTTCAACTTTCTAGTGAGGTACACTAGTTTTCACGTCCCGAGTATATGTTTTCATCCTTATTTCTTGTTGGAAAGTATATATTTTAAAACAAATTCCCAGTTCAATGATTAGGTTTGATGTTTGAGCATATACTTTAAAGCAGGTGAACTCCCGAGGCTTACTTGCGAATGGAGTAATTCAAACAAAACTCTGAAATGAATTTGCTCGTTTCAAAGGTGTGACTTACGGATCATTTCGCTTACTTACCCAATAAGAAACGGTCACATAATTAGCGCATTTTTAATATTTATAGAAAAAACTAAATTATACGTCTTCCCTTTCAGAAGTATTGCTGGTCTATGGATTTGCAAACCGTGCGAGAACCAAGCTGAATGTGATTCTCAACCCAAAGAATATTGCGTCTGGGGAGAAGTCAGGGATGCATGCAACCGAAGAGCATGCGCAAAGGTTGGTATCTATATTATTCAAAAGTGGGTTTGAAATTGGTTTTTCGTTAATAAAACGACAGAAGTTGAAACTCATGAGACTTTCTGACTTGTCATTTTTTATGCCTCCTGAATTGTTTTTAATTCATCTGAGTAAGTTAGGAATGTAACAGGAAAATTATCTCTAATTCAACAACCACATTTTTCAAAGAAGTTTTAGATGATTTCACAGCGAAGTAAACTTTCTTAAAATACGTTTTGATATTCAGTCATTTTCTTTTAGAAAATTCAGAAATTCGGAACGTTATATTGAAAAAAGTTGATCTATAGATGTCCATTTCGAATGTCCAAAATTATCAAGTACTGATGGTGATCTCAAGAAAATGTCAAAATAGTAGGATTATTTCGAAACCCAAATGTCTGAAATGTGCTATTCCTTGACAAAATTGCTGTGCCACATTTTTTTGGTGCGGTAATGAAGGTACTTTGAAAAACAATGGTTACAACAAGTGTGAAGTAGGTATAGATTGAAAATAGATAAAATTATTTCAAAAAAGGAAAATAAACTGTTCACTTCATTGATATGCACTTGATAATTATTCATAGTTAAGATATACCTTTTTGGGAAAGAAAGTTTTTGGCTTTCTACTAGATATACCTATTATCAATAATCGAAAAACGCTTCATCTCTTGGGTTGCTGTGGCAAGTGATAATCATAAATCATAAAATAGACACAATTGAAGCCATATACATCACACCTTCTTGGATGTAGTGCATTCTCCAAAGTCTAAGGAAATCTGTATATTGGATAAAATCTGAATGAATAGCTCTTTGGTAATACGAAACGTTGTTTTTGGAGAGAAACAAAACGTGAAAAATGCCGAAGGAACTAAAATTGTTGAAAATGGTATAGAAATAGATGAAATTCATAAGAATTCCAGATTCAATTCAAAGATCTATCAGGAATCGCAAAATATTTGAGGATTTCGAACTCTTTCATCAAGAAGCACTTATGAGATTCGAAAAAGAACAATGGAATGTTGCAGTAGAGGAGAAGGAAAAGATTCTTTGAGGAATTCACTTTTTGGTCATACGTATATGAGTCTGACATACACAGAAATGAGATTCTCACAAATTGTTCGCTTTTCCAAATGAAAAATAATAATAGGTTTCTCATCTGCGGTTCAGGTGAAACAATTTTTTTTCACTATCCTAGCGTAAACGCTATAGGCAAAACTCTGTGGACTTTCTGAGTGACAAACTTGCCAAAAAAATTGCATTGCAATTCCTGAAGGGGTTTTCAAAAACTGAATTAGGTACAGCTTGTCAAATTTAGGACAAGACTTGGGGATTCTCTTTCTCTCTCTTATCAGTGAACATCATCATACCAAAATAAAAAAGCTTTTGCTATATTGAACTGTACATACTTGTCAAATATAGCAAGAGGTTTTTTATTTTGATATGATGCCGTTCACTAGAGAGAGAGAAAGAAAGAGAATCCTCAAGTCTCTTCCTAGATTTGATAAGCTGTATGTAGAATATGCCTAATGAAAAAAACAGATTTTACCAATTTCTCAAAGACGCTGGTATATTCCCTCGCAAACTGATCAATCATTATTAGCCATATATGTGGATACAGCATTGTATTGATGAACGATAAAAGAGAAATGAACATTATAGGGCAAGTTAGCATAAGTTTCAAGATGTAAACAGATCATTTTCCTTTCATTTTAAGTTTCGATTTAAAACACTTGATTACAAGTCTACATGGTATACATATACGTATGGTTCTTCAGCTCCCTGGTATTCCCCAGGGATCCATATTGTCTACAACCCTCTTTTTATTGTTCATCAACGACTTATTAGAAAAAAACAAGAATCCAATATATTGCTTTGCTGGCGGCAGCACACTTGTCTCGTCATTCCATTTGTATTCTAGAACATCAGCTACGGAGGCACATCTTCACCGGCAGCACGAGGTTGCATATCTTGATGAAGATCTAGAGGTGATTTCGAATTGGAATGGAAGTAACCAGGTTCAATTCAATGCCACAAAAACCCAGGCATCAGTTTTCTCCAAGAAAATAAATGTCTTCGAACCGGATATAATAATGGCAAGTCAAGTCAAGACAATTCCGCTTTCTGCTTCAATACGTTTTATGGGGGTTAAAATGAAACAAAATCTAGGAACACTGTTCCGAATCAGAAAACTGTACACACCTCAGCATCTGTTGATGCTTTATAAGCTCAGATCAGACCTTCTTTGGAGTATTCTTCTCATGTAAGGAGCTCTGCCCCCCAAACATAACCTGAAATTTCTGGATTCCATCCAGAAAAGAGCCATCCGCCTAATTGGAGACGCGAACATCACGTGCAACCTTGATAGCCTGGATCATCGAAGAAAGGTTGGAGATTTGTCTCTCTTATATAGATACTTTCACGGAAAGTGTTCAAGTGACTTGGCACATTTGATTCCACCAAGACCGGTATATATCAGAAATACGCGATGGACTATGGCTGCTCATCATTTTAAGGCTCAACTTAATACACCTCGAACTTCACTGTTTGATAACTTTTTCATCTGGAGGACTGCGTTTATGTGGAATAAACTTCCTGAGAACATTTTTCCAAATAGATTTAATCTCCATCGATTCAAATCCAATGTGAATCGCTACTTTCGCACAGGCACCGCTCTGAGAGCGCCGTAAGGATTCTTCTGTAGTGTTTGTGTTTTGTCCTTAAAAAAATGGAACATCTGTCCCCCTGATGAACACACATTGAAAAAAAATGACGCAAAACCGGTAGTCTACCTATTGTTTGGTTTTTTCTCTGGGACAAAGAATCGAGGAAGATCAGAATTGTCGAGTATTAAGATGGGCCGATGGGTTACTTTTCCAGAAAAACTGAAACAGAGTATTCCCTTCAGGTTTCATTATGAAACTTATATAATCGAAATCATCAACAAGAGCATCAATAAAAACTTTTCTATACCATCGAAGCGCCACGAAGCTAATCGGAAGTAGACAAAACAGACGAACGAGTAAATATATTGATGATCAGAGGTATGGTTTGGATCAGGTCAAAAAGCAGAAAGCACTTTTATTTTTTTGACGTTGCCAAAAAACAGTGAGTGTTCGTATCATTGACAATCGGTACTGATTTGTTACATTGATGTTATTATGATATGCTGTAGTCTTATGTGAATACTTTCCATTTCTCTGCTAAACATTTATATCAATCCAGTATAATAATATGATGTTGTATTTTTTGATGTGATGATTTCATGAATTATGTTGATTCATGAACGCCCACAATTGTCACCATGTTAGGAATGATGATGAGTTATGGTTGTAGGAAAAGTTTTTATTTTTCAATTACGATAAATATAATGAATTTTTTTTTTGTTACAGGGCCCAGGAGAAAGATGCGGAGGTTCCTTGAACATTTTGGGTCAATGCGGAGAAGGAATGATGTGCAAGTCTGATGAAAAATGCCACGGATGTTCTCTCCAAACCATGCAATGCTACAATGAATAGAACTTAATTTGATCTCAATATTACAAGAATCAGTATTACCGGCCCTTCGGTCCAGACATTTCCTATATGTGACAAACGCCCGATATTAAATGTTTAGTTTTTCAACAACATAACTAGGATATATAATGAATGTAACTATATTTATAGGTAAATTATTTTAATTATTCAATGATGCGAACAAATATACCAGATGGATACTTTGTACATTTCAGAAAGTTGTGTTTCATTTAATCCCCGTTTCTTAATGTAAAATATACTCATAAGGTAAGCCCATACAATAAAATTGAAGACATACTTTCCATGGCTATCTAGAGTAGATGAGTAAGTTCAAAGTGTGTGTGATCCTTTAGATTAGGTTACGTCCAAAGTGAGTGGAGAAAGTAGTTGTTGAGGAAAGATATTAAATTGAACTATCATTTCCTTCCAAGCAATCTCTGGGTTTTTTTAATGGCATTCACTTGACGAATGACACTTTTCTAGTTTCGGTGGAAAGCAATTACTTTCTGAAATTGAGTAATTTGAAGTGAAGAATTTCACAGTTATTTTAGTAACAAACCAAATAATTACTTTCGAATCAATCAATCAACAGTAAGAGCAGTTTAATTGCAAAATAAAAACAAAAACGAAAGTAATCATTCGAAAGCAAAATTCCAAATATTTTTCTCTTCGAACTTTCCCAAATAGGAGAATTATATTCGCCACGGGCAGTTGTGAATGATTTGCTTGATAGAAACAGCTATATTTTTTTACATACATCAAAAGAATCAAATGTCTAGATGTCATATGCGATAGACTACATATACAGGATGATTCCAGTTGATGTATTGTTCACAAGTGAAATTTTTTTTGGTTTTGAGAACGGGAAATTATTATTTTCCAAAATTTCAACTGTCTGAAAAAAGCTGAATATGAAAATTACATCGTTTCCATTCATTATTCACTTTATTGGCAAAATTTATGAATACAAGTTACTGAGTAATTGGATTCTTCAGTGGTTTATATTTCGCAGTAACTTTTCTGGGTGAACCTTTCAGTTTATTCTTTATTACGCTTCAGCACATTCTATACTGATTGTTCATTTTTCAAATTGTGGAACACCTGAAAACAGTAAGACACGCAAATATATTATATGTTTAATTCCTCACGATTAAATTTTCTTCTCCTCATTATCATACACATCTTTCATAATACTCAAAAACAAATAGTGTTTACATTTCAATAGCATCAATCTGAATCGTCTCAAATATTGCTGCGTCTTGCCAATTTTCGAGAATAATATTACCTTCAATGTTCTATATTTTCCCAGAGAGGAAAACAGTAAATAACTGGAAGTAACCGTTCAGTGGAGGATTTTCCGATTGGCTCCAAGAAATGTTTACTCCGTGATATGACCTCTAGTTGTTTCTGGATTTCATTTATCTTTATGTGGGATGCGTAAATAACCGTCTGGCAGTATATTTCTAGAAGGGCGTTTCAGTGTTTGAATTGCTTCAATATTTTGAAGCAAATTGTTTTTCAAATCGGTAAGGCCCTCAAGAATATATTATTATTACCCCATTTATTATTCTTCATTTGAAAAAATCTTCCATTGGTTACACAGACTTCTTCTCAAACAGTGAAATGGAAAATTGTGTTTTCAAATCATTATGAGACACTTTTCCATCATCCGATGGATGTGTCTCAAATTGTTGTAATTATAACGTTGAACACTCCAAAACAGTCATATAATTTGTGTAATTTTCTTTTCTGTATGTAGAAGAATATTTGTTGAATCTGGCAACACTGGGATACCGTTTTCTTTTGTGTTTCACTGGGACACCTAACTTCAATTTAATGAATAGAATTGACACCTCTGCTGTCTTACTTATCTCCAAACGATGCTAGGTTAGGTTAGGTTTCAAGTGAGTGGGTCTATTCGACCCTCCACCGCAACCCGCAAGGGTTTGTTGTGGCTTACACCTATTCACACTCGGCCAAATAAACCCAGCTTCTTAACGAAGCCAATCAGTTTGTATGGTGAGTGGTCTTTTAGGTCAGATGGTTAGAGTACGGCTCTGTCGAACTCTATAAACTTGATTCGGTGCCCAGCGAGGAAGGCACAAAGTATATGCTCTGATATTTCATCATTTTCCAAACAGAGGCGACACACACTGTCTTCCGACAGTCCGAGTCTCTGCATATGATGATTCAAATGACAGTGACCTGTATGAAGGCCTGTTAGACATCGTAGTTCATCCCTACTGAAATCCAACAACTGTTTGGTATCTTGGTATCTTTGGTATCTTGGTAGCTTCGAAGGATGAATAAACGCCTTGAAGTGAGCCAACCCTGGAAGATTCTGCCATAAGTCCATAAATCTTCTTGCCATCCAGGTGTTCAATGTTTGTTTGGCAAAGCCTAAAGTGATGCCAATGACAGGTTCTGGTCCGATGAAGCTGCTTGCAGTACTCTCCTTTGCAAGGAAGTCAGCAGCCTCATTGCTTTTCAGGCCAGTATGGACAGAAATTCAGACCAGAGACAATCTGTTAAGTCTTCCTATCGAGGAGAGTCGCTTTTGGCAATTTGCTACCAATTTGTGTATGAGGTTGGATTCTTCCAATCTCTCTGCACACAATTCAATAGCGTAAATTTCCGCTTGAAATACAGTCGCATAGGTTCCTATGCAGGTAGATAAATCTGTCATGGGTCTGTTACTAAAATCACCTGCACCAGAACCGGAAGGTATTTTTGATTCAAGTGTGAACCAACAACTATCTGCTCTTAATATTTCCTTCTCCCGGAGGATCCAGTCCTCTCTACTCAGGGATACTACTTTACAAGGCAGTTCATAGTTGACAGTTAGAGGCATAAACTCAGAGATTATTTCCAGAATGCTGTGACTTCTAGTGTCAACCAACAGTCTGTTGCACTCTACATTAAATTGACTTGTGCAATTGGCAATGTGCACAAGTCTGTATGTAGTCCATCTAGCCTCTCTCTCCAGAAGAATGTGGAGAGGAGGTAAATCTAGAAGGATCTCAATGGCCGCTGATGGTGTGGTACTGATGGCACCACTGATAGCATGACAAGCCTGTCTCTGTAAGCCAGAGAGCTTCGCCTGGGCCGTTTTCTGTAAAGCCTTCGGCCACCAGGCAATTGCACTATAAGTGATTATTGGTCTGACAATCATCACGTAAATCCAATGGATTTGTTTGGGACCTAAAACCCAAGGTTTACCACAAATCCTTCGACATATTCATAGAGACAGTCTGGCTTTGTGTAAAACTTTTTCCAAGTAAGGGTTCCAGATGAGTCTTTTATCAAAGACAAGACGATGGTAACTTGGTTAGCGAAACCCGCATCGAAAAACGGTGTTTGTTTCTGGTATGGGAAAAGTGTTTTAATAGACATCTACTTTTACAAAAAAATTATAAAATCCATATCATTACCGAAATTCGTCAATTTGGAAAAAAATCGAATTTTCAGAAATAACTGTGACATCACTGCCAATGAGAATGTTCTCCCCTTTAAAATCATGCTCCAAAATGTAAATGACTTTTATGATGCAGAAAAAAGTACATAACTGAATATACGGCCTGGATACCAGCGTGAATGAAGTTAACCACTTACTTTTCACTTTTTGGAAAAACTCTCACACATTTCAATCAATACAATGGACTAATACGACACTAAACAAAGCCCCGTGATGGCCTCGCGTACCTTCTTTGTGGACGTACGTTATTGATACATCCATCCACTACCACGGCCACCACAGAACTACAAAATGCTTCTTAGTTTCGAAACTAACCATCAACTCGACCTCAAAAACAAACTGGCAATGTCGCACACAGAGTCAGTACAAAAATATTATAGGAAGAAGAAGAAAATTATATTGGGAAATATTAATGGATGTTACAGTGTTGCCAAGTTCACATCCAATATTAGTGATATTATGTTACTGAATATTGTTTTTACTCCTTTTTTCAAAAAAACTACCGATAATAAAATTGTAACAGATATAAAAAGAAATAGATGTAGTTTTCACATATGTGGTTGTTCCAATATTAATGTAAAAGTACATTCTAGTTTGAAGTAAAGTCCCCATTGGTTACAACTGGAGTGGAAACTTTCCACTTCTTGAAGGGTGACTCACTTGTCCAAAACAATGTGTGGAAATGAAATGAATAGGGTCAATCTTTGGTGCACTGTCAAGAATTGGGTGTTCCACCTAGTTGAAAAATGACATCCGTCAAATCTAACCAGTAGCATAGTAGGTAGAAGTAAAAGTTTCAGTACAGTCCGAAAAGAAAGAAAGCCGGCATGAATTGTGTATGTCAGATGTTAAGCTACATTGTTAATCATTTATTTGTCTATTTATTCTTCTCAAAACCAGTATTAACTGTTTCCACACGTCAATTATAAGGGCATGGTAATTGAGAAAAAACGAAACCAATTTCGAACATTCACCTGTGTTCAATGTATCTTTCTATTGATATTTGATTCGAATTAAAAATGCTATGGACTAGTCGAGTACACAAATAACCGCCAGGTGACATAATTTCTCTTTTACAAGCTGGTCGAAACAGGGCTTTCTGATGTTGAATTACGAATGCTTTGTTGTTGTACATAGTTGCCTCATAGTGAAAATTTGGTGAGGGATGAAGTCCATATCTATCCATATTCAGCTAGTCCTTTGATGACAGTTAGTCCGGCAATGCATTCGTGGTTCAGCCTGGTAGCACTAAGATGGTTCACGGATGTTTTTGGGCTCTGGTTTTATTCAATAAACCAGAAACAAATTGCACTAGCATTTTCCGATATTCTTGTTACGAGCAAGTTGTCAGGCAAAAACTTCAGGTAAACATACAGGTATTGAATCTGTTTCCCAACTTCTGTATTTCTTTGTTGTTGTCTTTGCATCACTGATTGATAGTACTGGCTCCCAGTGACTTGAAAAATGAATTACAGCATAGACATTAACAGACTCAGACTGGACATATTCATAAACATATGTATATGAGTATACAAATATAGATACAAATAGAAATATACATATACAATGAAATACAAATAGAAATATATATTCATTCTTCACAGAATTGAATGAAGCAATTATTACAAGAAATTATCAGTTGAAAACTCATTCAATCTGGTTTTTAGCCTAAGCTAACCACAAATCCAATTATTCCACCTACACATATAAATAATCGATTGAGTCGAACCGAATATTCGTTCGGGAATTCTAGAAAGATAATTTTGCATTTTTTATTTTTCAGGACAAGTACTTCAAGCCATTTTCCACTCTTCACATCATCTGTACTACAGCTATGTCCTCAACTCTAGTCTACGTCGTATTGGCTTTAACAGTTTTCTTTATCTTATGTCCTGGCACGTAAGTAAAATTACTGACGTATTCTTCTAGAAATAAAAGAATGGCATGTGAAATTAAAAAAAAATTAGAATTTCCTGGAAATTAGGCAGTAAAAAAATGAAGTTTCATTAAAAACCATAAAAAGTTGGAGTTTTGAACTTGGGCCCTTTCAGAATTTGGTAACTATCAACAGTTACTTGAAAACTTCGAATAATCAAGAATATATAAGGTGTGCCACATAAAAGGCTAAGTCTAACGATATTGCCTCTGGAACCGACATGTATCTTCAAATCATATTTGTAAAATTTTGTTCAATCTATCTAACATTCTGATACTCCAAACTAAAAATTTTTCATCCTCCCACAGAGATTAAATCATGTGACCTCTTTCAGGAGTGCATAATCTATTATTACCATTGCTTGACATCCTGTACCTCATTTTTTTTTCTAGTCCATTGCTTCAACTGAATCAACAGTAATAATGAAAGCTCACTATATAGCTCATGAAATATAATATTCGATATGTTCATACGGACATCAACATTGATGCTTAATTTTTAAGGAAATAATATTAAGTTTTTATGAATTTGATATATCCAAACTTCAAGTTAGAATCATCGGCCCTCAAATTTCAATTGGTTTTGCAACATGATTACCTAGTGTAAAATTCCACAAATCCGTAAAATATCGACCCTGACTTACATTACCTGATTAATGATGTGATGAAATTACAACTTTAATGAGGTGTTAGTGACAGGCTATCGGGTGACTACTGCCTATAAATAGTTGAAAAAGGTCAACATGCACAGTAACGTGGGTAAAAGTGATATATAATTTACTGATTCTTTATTCCCAATCATATTTCTGATTCAAGTGAAATCTGGATGAGCGGTAGATTTGTCTAATTATTTTATGTATACAATATTATTAGTGTATTTTTATGGCCAACACATGTGGTGGGAGTTAGATTTAGATAAAATGGCTGACCACTTCATGATTACATGAAAGGATTTTTTCATTGGCCTACTTTGGGTGTTTTCACATAATCTGAAAAACATTTGAATTGTAATGGAGAATGTTATACATATGTAAAAAGGGCAAACTTCTCAATATACCACGATAAGTTATTGCGTAAATTCAAAATTTTATTTATTGATGACTTGCCATATTCAATAACTTTGCCTTCTTACAAAACAACAAGTACACTGATATTTATATTCACTCATACAAAAGCCAACTGAGGGCAGTTGCAGATTTTAGCCTATGAAGCGTAAAAAATCTGTATAATTTCTCTGCTCTTTTTTTTTGATAAATGAACATTTTTTTTGTAAAAATACTTTGAATTCGCGCAGTACATTTTCGGGGTGAACTGAAAAGTTTGTCCTTTCTACACGTGTATACAATTTTTATATTCTTCAGATTGTGGTAGGTAAAAATATCCGAAAGGGGTCATTAGAAAAACTCTGATTCGCGCCATAGAAATGACGTTTGGTGATGAAAAAATTTTTGCATGTAGATTGTATCGAAAAAAGTTTTCATAGTCTTCTTCCCAAGCATCGAAAAAGCAGAATTCAGCATAAAGTCAGCCATCATTTTGGAATATTTTCCCATCTTCTAGAATATGGTGTTGAAAGTGACTGCGGAGAGACTGACTTCTCCATACAATCAATATTGTCATAATCAGTTCTGATAAGACATATTTGTTAGAACGACTTAATTGAACTATTGTTAGTAATGCCGTTCCTATCGTTCCTAAATCTACTCAATATATATTACAGTTATATGTGTGCATAGTTTAACACCCTGTATTATTGGGAATATTTATGTCTATATTTATGTCTTCGGAACCGCATCTCACGACTCTTGGTTGTTTTGCTTCTTCTGTCGTCGTCTGACTAGAAATCCTCGAACCCCGGCTTGAATTTTGACTGCTGATTTCTCTTCCACGTCTTTATTTCGACTGTTTTGCGATTTTGCTGAATCCGATCGTGTTGGGCCCTTTCCTCGACATTGCCGTTTTGCGGGAGTCATGTCTGAAGATCCATTCTGAAAAATTTCGAAAAACTGCCATCAGTTTCTGTACTATTGAAATTAATTTTATAGATGCCGACTTGTATTTCAATCATGTCTAAATTTGCTTCAAATTATCTAAAAGAACAATTTGTTCAGGTCATCGAATAGAACTGGCCGATACTTGTATGATTTTCACTATAAGAGGGTGTTACAGAAACCGCGACACGTGTTTCGCTATACAATAGCTTCCTCAAGCATAACTTGAGCTCAAGCATAAACTCGGTTTAGCTTCATTGTTGACAACTCCTGAACGGTTATTCCTTTTTTTTTCAATTTATTCACATACAAGTTACACAGTTATACAAAATTAGTATGAAAAATAATGCGTTTATCTATTTTACCAACACATGTCGCATTCCATTTATTGAAGAATTCATTAGCCATTCCAAAATTATCGTATATTTTGAGGTGCAGCCCTACTTGGCATGACGAACAGGGAGTACAAAATATCGATGACGAATTAGGAAGGATGCTGGAACTCATTACTAATAACCGTATCGAAGACGAAACTTGGTTACAGGCATCACTTCCAGTTTTTAGAGGAGGATTAGGAATTCGTTCAGCCACTTCACTCGCTTTGCCATCATTTCTGTCCTCATTTTGCAGTGTTTCCGATGTGATACAAATTATCAAATCTGCGGGCACTCATGGAAACCCATTAGTTAGGGAAGCTGTAGACTGTGCTATAGGTGACCCCTCCCGATTCGAAAGGCCCTGTCACTAAGTTCAGTGAAGACCCCACGACGTCCGTAGAAAGTGAACAGTTTGTTCATCAAACACTCCAGTCAGGAAAGGGGGCACAGGGCATAAAAGGCATGTGCCTTCATTTGGCAACCAACCACTCTCGTGACCAAACTTCGATACTATTACTTATCGGATCATTTATGTGTATGACTCTTCGGCTTCCTAAAAGAACGTTTCCTGCTGGTGGCCCTCAATAGAATACTCTCGAATACTTTCACCATTAACGCTGGTGTTTCCCAGGGATCCTTATTGTCTCCAACATATCGTCTCCAACCCCCAAAAAAGCGAACTTTAATATACGATTATTCAATCAACAATACTACAATCAAACGCGTACATGAGATAAAAGATCTTGGTATAACATACGACAGTAAATTAACATTTACGACACATATAAGGAACATGACTGCTGATGCTAATAAAATGCTTGGATTCATTAACAGAAATGGCAAACCCTTCAAAAGTAATTCCACCTTAAAATTGCTATATTTTGCGTATATCACATCTAAGTTAGATTATGGCTCTGTGTTATGGAATCCAGATTACGACCACCAAAAAACATCAATTGAGAGCGTGCAGAGGAAGTTCCTAAAATACTTATGTCTAAAAGTTGATGGACAATACCCCACTAGAGGCATCGATCATAACATTTTGTTGACACGATTTGATATGACATCCTTGGAAAATAGGAGAGTTATCCTTGGTATGAAATTCCTGCATAAATTATTCAACAACAATGTTGACAGTACGGTTCTTTTACCCGAGATCAATTTCTTAGTACCAAGAAAGGAAGGTCAACACAATCTGAAATTCTATTGCGAAGCATCATGCACAAATGTTATGCTATGATCACCATTGAATTTTATGTGCAGTAGCTTCAATTTGTGAACATTGCGATATTTATTTCGACTCTCTGAACGCCTTGGTATCATGTATCCACAATCACTTTTCTCTCCATACCACAAAGAACCGACCAATTGAGTTTGTGGCAATGCTTGGATTCTTTTACAAGAAAAGAAACTTTGGATGGAAATGAAAAACCGACGTGTTCGAAATGCAAGGAGAGGAGAAAATGCACAAAGTTCCTATCAATCCACAAGTTTCCCTATATTTTAAAAAGATTCAAAAAGATTCTCTCCAACGGAAAGTAGAGGCAAATTGAATGATGTCATTGAATTTCCTCTAGAAGGATTGGATATGGACAATTTTGCAGCAGAAAATGTGGCTACTTGTTATAATCTATATGCACTTTTAAATCACAGTGGGACACAAATACAACTATTCACACGTGTCACCAATTTCACCAAAGTCGCTTTTATGTAAAGGATGGAACAAAATCGCACCTTTAAGATAACCGAGGGAAAGTTTCTTTGTGCAATTATTATTTATTTTTTGTTAACTTCTCACATAGTGAAATAAAATATTGCCTTAGAATATCTGTTGCAAATTAATTAAGATAACTCACAAAAGATAAACCTTGAGCATGAGATGCTTAACTATGAGCTATACATTTATAGACATATACCCAAATAACACATAATCACAGGAGAAATAATGCATTTCCAAGTCTGATTCTAACTTATGTATCAGAGTGAAACGTCTTTAAAAAAATGAATAAGTTTTATAAGTAATACATATTTTTTACATCAACATATTGATGTATTTGGAGGCAGAGGATTCGGAGAACCCATAACTTGGTTTTTCGTCTGAAAACTCTTAAGTTCTGTATATTTTTCAAAGTTTTTGGTAACTCATTATAAAGTTTTTGACCTAAGTAGAAGGAAGTTCTTTGTAGTATGTTTTTTGATGGTCTTGCTACTTGCGACATGTTCGATTCTTGCCGTGTTAGGTATGGATGACTGATGACTGTTAGACTTGCTTTGTATTTATGTTGGCGGGCTACAGTGCTCACAAAATATAATTGACTAATATCCAAGATTTTCGGTAGAGTAAGTATACTTTGAGACTTTGAGACATTTTGAGACATTTTTTCCAGGTTTATGAAAAATGTTTTATTGGTTGCACCCCAAGCAATGACTCCATAATTGAGATGGCTCTCGATCAGCGCGTAGTATATTTTTATTTGACTTGTGATGAGTATATTCGAATAGTGTTTCATCCTGTATAGAATACTCCTCAATTTCTTCAATACATAATTTACATGTACCATTTCAAGTTACAATCTAGATAGACTCCTAAGTATTTATAACTGTCTGCCCTTTTAATTCTTACAACTTCATTAGGTCGTTTGATCTGTATGGTGTTTGAAATATATATCTGTGAAGATTAGTTTGATGTAGATTTGGATAATATATGTTTGTTTTTTATTGAACGTGAATTTTAAGAAATAAAAATTAGGATAAGCAACAACACTCGTTTCATTTTAGTCAGTGTCAGTAGAATTTTGGTCATTATAATTAAAATAACACTTAAATGGGAATCTTCGTATATCTAAATTCAGCAAAGCAAATGTAACCATTTGTTGTAAAGAATATGACCGAGGTTAAACAATTTTTGTCTCTTTGGAGATATTTTTTTATGGCGCAGTAGGACATATGTCCAAATTGTGAATGTTTTGACATGTAATACTTTTGAATTGAATGCAATTCAAAACCTTTTTTTCGCCAATCTTCGACAATCTCTATTTGTAGAAATAATTTTAGGGAATGTATTTCGTTGTATGAATTAATAAGTTGATGAATTGTTGAAGCAAACAGTTAACTATGAATCATTTGAATGGATAATACGATTTTTTGTCGGGTAACGAATGCTTTTATATTCTACATTAGAAACTTGGGTGTTTTTCAAAAACAGAAGAAACAACATTTTTTTGGCTGGGATTTATTCAAATAAGCGAATGAATGTCATTACGATGTCATCGATGACATGAATAGATCAAGTTCATTCCGTGACATAACATTGTAATTTATGAATGAATTGTGTATATTTCTCATGATGATATCCAGATTGGTACTGAAGAGGCCTATTTCTTACGGCGAAACATCGATGTCTACCAGTGAGGACGACATTGTTCCATATAAGTGCAATTTGTTACCATTCATTTAAAGTAGAACTCCTGTGAATGATATCTGTATTTTACTCCATAACGAATGTTTGGAATACAAACTGAGTGAAGAAAATTGTTTTTTGAATAATTCAGTGTTCATATAAAAGTATTTGTTTCGAAAGAATTTTTCTTTCGTGTAATTCAATGTTTTGATATCTGTCTCTCTTCTATGGATACTTTCACGAAAGGTGTTCAAGTGATTTGGCATATCAGAAATACGCGACGGACTGTGACTGAGGTTCAACTCGGTACTCCTCGATTTCCACTGTTTAAGAACTCATTCGTCTGGAGAACTGCGTTTATCTGGAATAAATTTTCTGAGAACGTTTTTCCAAATGAATTTAATCTCCAGCGATTCAAATCCAATGGGCATGGGGACATTTTCAGTTTGGGCATGGCAGCAACAGAGATAACTCCGATGGGTTGCCGCATCGTCTTTGATAATGTCTGTCGCAATAGCAGAAGTAATGTCGGGTATAAAAACGTTCAGGCCACGGCTAATAAACCCGAAAACATCGCACAATTCGTTTCAAAGTATCAATTGACGTTTCAAAAATATTGTTAGATTCTTGCTTTGGCACTACTCCACCGTCGCGTCGTAGGTACGTGTACATCTTTCGGAAAAATCGGTCAATTTATTTTCATACCTGACGACAGACAGGTATTAAAAAATCACGTAAGAGTTCGGTTCATGTGTATCGGATGGCCAGTATAAATAGACGTCAATTTTCGGCTCAAAACTCGAAGAATGTACATCCAATTATTTTATAATTAGAACCTGACGAACATTAAAAATACTTGACATGCAGCGCACCACAATAATAACGTCGTTTGTTGTATATTAACGGTTTGTTTAAATGCGGCAAGATTTCAGCTTGTGAATTAGTAATAAGCTATTTTCTTGCCGAAAATCAAAATAAATATGTTGGAGGAGTGGAAAACCTTGATTTATGAGACTAGGCTTGACATAAAACGCGGAAACGAGTTCTTTTTTTTCTCGTTCGAGATCATTACTGTTTTATAAACTTTGCCAAAAAATTCAGTTCATGAAAATCTAGTACAACAAATTAGTTTTGAAATGCTATGTGTTTCAGAATTCTAGAATTTTAAACTGGTTTAACTTCATACGTTCTATTAGTTATTTAATGTTCATGAAATTTTTATATTATCTTCAATTTGGTTAACTCTGTTAAAATTTCAATGAAACTACCTCCTAACGGCAGACCGAATTCAATAATGTCATGTCAGACAATTCCGCTTTCTGATTCGATAAGTTTGTTGGGGGTTAAAATGAAGACCAATATGTCTTAGCACAATCATGTCGCTGGAATTGTAAAGGCTGCTTCTCAAAAGTTTGGAACACTGTTCCGAATCAGAAAACTGTACACACCTCACCTTCAATATAGATTTACAACGACGTTGAAGTTTCTACCAGGCGATTTATCTTTTGTCAGAAGTTTTTCAGTTCGAAGTTTGTTCGGGCTGTGGTGGCTAAATAGCTATTTATGATATGAATGTTAAAAGTATCTAAGGTTTTATTTTGTGAGTGAAAAAGTTACTTTCACTTTTAATCACTTAAATAAAAGCCTGTTTTAAAAGTTTTTCATCATCATTTTATATAAAGTTTTTTTCCAACAAATTTTTAACATAACCCTTTTATTCGTGAACTTTTTTGAATGAATTTTTCACAGGTTAGTGAAAACTGCACCCAAATCGGTTGACCCGTTTTCGCTTAGCCGCACAAACCCACAGACAAATAGATGAACAGGCAGTCATCAATTACATCTTTATTATAGGTATTGATATGTGTCCACTTTTGCAACCAGTGCATCGTTCCATAATTATTGACAACGCCATGGTCATTTATCGTCTAAATCTGAAAACAATCCTCTCTGTATAACTATTACGTTTCATAATATATATGAATTATACTTCCGATAATGAATCAGAAAGGTGTTGTGACGTTTCAAATTGTTTTAAAGTTTTCATAAATAGGTACCTATTGTTTGCAGTAAGCGGATGCAATGTAATGTCCTTATCGCAATGCGATCTACGCGCAGACTCAAGAAAATTGATATTTTGGAGCATCATCCCTCCTTTCATACTCTACAATAACCCATCGCTACCAATTTATTCCATTTCTCCCAGTTTCATCCGTGATTTCTCACAACCGAAGGCTTCCTTACAGAGCCTTTATATTTTTTCGAGATGATCTCAGAATCCTTGATTGATGTTGTGAAGCGATGCAACAAACGAATAACCAATCATGAACCATGCACGAATTCTTTGTTTTAAATTTGGATGATTGTTTCATCTGACGATAAGCATCATTGTAGTCATGGTAAGTTGATATTATCTTGAATAATTCATCACGTTAAACACCAAGATTTTTTCAAATGACTCATATTTTCATAATAATAAGTGGTTGGTGGGGAAAACTTCTTTGATATTCATCCAAAACAATTAATATCTCTCAATTCCGGAAATAACAGCAGATACTGATGCGCTTGTATAGTTGAATATATATTGATATATAACTTGTGCTAAGGACCTAAATGTTCTTAAAATACCAAAATTGTGCATAGAAAACGTGGTTAAACGGTACGTATTTAAGATGTGCATGGATGCATTCAGTAGGTATTTTTTTCATCTGAATAGATAGAATTATCTCCTGCGTTCATAGAAATTTTACTTCCTACACAAATTGATTTTATACAAGTTGCTTTTGCGTTTGGAGTAGAAAATAATATTGGGTGTTTTCAAATGAATTGTGAAAAAAAATATTTCTGTTGAAATAAATTCACATAAAGGAACTAGTTATTTCAAATAAGTACTTTCAATTGACTTCAGTGGATTCTTTTATATAGAAGATATATTGACGTTTATCTATTGAACTGTTTATTTATTCTCAGTTAGAGAACATAAATCGCATCTAAGTAAATTAAAACAAAAATAACAGCATAACATTGATAACTCCTTCTTTTTTTTAACATTTCCGCACAAATTGTGTCTTCACTCAGCGATAACACCTTTAGAATATTTTGAACTCTTAATATATGAATAAACTTGAAATGTTTAGGGCCAGCGAATCCTTTTGTAAACCCATCAACTGGCATTTCTTCTGTCGGTATGTGTGTCCGCAAAGTATGGAATAAATTCGAAACACGTCGATTTTCAATTTTAATATTCTAAATTTAACAATAAAATTTCATTACACATGATGGTGCATATTAATGTGATGACGTCATCGGTAATTTTTTTAAATGCAATATCCTGTATTGGTGTCAGTTTTAGATAATCCGTAACGAGCTGGTTCCGAAAAGGTATGATACTTGGGGTCTANTTCAGAATCAGCTCGTTATGTTTTATCTAAAACTGACAACAAATACAGGGTGTTGCATTTAAAAAATTACCGATGACATCATCACAATAATATGGATCACCCTGTATAATGAAATTTTATCATAAAATGTAGAACAATAAAATTAAAAATTGAATTTATTCCATACTTTGCGGACACACTGTATATGTCAAAGTAACCGAACTGAGGCTTTTCTGTTAAACTTGCTTTTTGAAATTGGGATGATTATACATTTTCGTTTCAATTCAATACCATGTCAATAGTGAATTTGTCTAAATTCCTTCATTTCGAACTTCTACTTGGAGATAATCTTTGATTTCCTCCATACAAAATCTATCATCACTTTTCGAAATGGAATCATCTACGAAGACGGCAATCAGTATGTCTTTTTTGTATGCTTCACGAGAACAAATACAAAGATCGGTTTTTCCAGGATTCATATTCCCAGCATTCGCAAGATTTGATCCAATTTTCTGTACAATTCTCAACCCCATCATAGACCGTATAACGATTTTTTTCGAACCTTGTTTCCATCTTGTATCTGGAACAAATATTTTCATGCTCGTAACTGAATGATTTCATTTTTGACATAATGTTTTGAAAATATTCGTTCTAGCTACCTACTTATTCAACTATTCAGCTAATTTCATGAATAATATTTCGACGAGCAAGCAATGTCATTATTCGATGGAGTATCAATGAATTCCCAAAGTTATCAATTTTCATCGGACGGCACTTTTCCGCTCTTTTTATAGCGTCCTGATAATGCTATTTTTTTATTTATTTGCGTTTTTAGACAATATGTAGTAGTTGGTATTCTTTTCTAGTTGTTTTCTTTTCTCTAGTTTTCACGATTCTCGTTCCTTCTCTTCCTGGATGATATTATTGTCTCATTTCCAGATTCCCAGTATTCGAAAAATATAATCTGTATTCAAGTATTATGGACATGTGAAGAACTAATTACCAATTTCTACAGTGAAAAAATTGATAGAGGGTACTTCTATTTGGTAATTCAATTTTCAGAATTCTCAAATTTATTAATTTCCAAGCATTCCACAAGATTGAGTTCCAAACGTCACTTTGAAAGTAAAACTCACTAAGTACAATAACTGACTTTTGAAATAATCGTCAATTGATAAAATTAATTTCACTTATCTATTTTAACGTGCGTCTGATATTCCTGATGTTTTTTCGATAATACTTCATTGTGCTACCCTTTCCAATTAGTTAAACCACCCACTAAATGGCATTGTCTTTTGAGCAGAATTTTGAAAAAAATATAGGTACTCATTCATTTTCACTTCTGAAATGACTACTGAAACAATAGTAGTTAGTGAATAAAATATCATTTAAAAAAGCTTTTATTTATCAGTAACTTGTCGTATTTAACAATTTTGCCTATCAAAAAAATTATTAAGAAATAATACTTATCTTTTACGTTTCGGAGGCCAAAATCTGCCTCCGTCTTCAGAAATGGATAAAAANATGAATTCACTTACAGGCCACTCTTTTCTGTTTCTACACATCGTGTTATACAGTGGTGCGACTCCATAGCTGGAAAGCTCTCCATATGTGTCTTGATCAAAGATATTAGTGCTACCGACGTCTTATTGCCGGGTGTTTTTCTGCATCTTCTATCCACTCCTTGAAATGTCTCATCGGAGCCTTTACCCTTGATAGCAGTTTCAATAGGGCCATTTGAAATACAAATCTCTTTGTCGCTTATTACTTCCCAGACCCCAGTATGTTTTACAAGTGTCTATACGGTCCTGTTCAATGACATTGCTAGTACAGTGGACCCGGCAGGTCATGCAATTCATTTGTTTGTGAAGCTTAGCAGTACAAACTTTTTTTTTGTTCTTATGGATTTCGTTTTCTCCAGCGTATTGGCACCGGTGTTACTTCTATTCCATCGGAATCGGAGATATCGTGATCCTTAATTTCGTTGGGTAGAAAATTCGGGTCCTGAATTGAATCGTCTGAGGAAAGTCCATCTTCACTACTATTCGAATAGTCTACCAAGTGAAATGAGGTGTAAAATTTACTTATGTTTGAAATATAAGTGAATGTAAAACCTCATTTCACTTGCATGTTTCTCTTACGACTTTTACGACTTAACCTGCTAGAACTGGCAACGTCTACGGTTGTCTCTATGTTTTCGGTTATCCTGTTTACGGGATTACCATCATCATGATATATCTGTAAAAAAAGGTTACAACTTGACGAATATTTCTTGGTACCCGAAGATTCAAGGTCCCCCACAACATGTCATTACGCGTACATTGGCAGGTGCCAAGAAATATTTGTCAAATTGTACATTTGAAATAGATGCATAATTTACTACTAATTTGCGTCCACGAGAGAACCAACTTTGTCACAAATTACTATTAACCAACAGTTTTTGGTTCAGGAACAATGAGTTTGAGTTAGGAATTAATTACACGTTAAAACGTAAGATCTCGTTAGTCCTTAGCTCGCACAAGTCTCTCAACTACTGAGAGTTGTCGTTCATATGGGGGCCACAGCTGATTTTTTTTTTCAATTCATTCACATACAAGTTACACAGTTATACAAAATTAGTATAAAAAATAAAGTAAGATAACTCACAAAAGTTAAACCTTGAGCGTGAGATGCTTAACTATAAGCTATACATTTATAGAAATATACCCAAATAACACATAATCAAAAGAGAAATGATGCATTTTCAAGTCTTAAAAAAAATGAATTTTTTACTAACACAGTTCTATGAAACTAAGTGGAATTAACACTTGATTATTTTGTCTTCTGGTAGAGCATGCAATAAAAAGTGTACCTACTTGTTGAGAAAAGTCATTTTGCCTTAAAACGTCACTTAGTGAGTTTTACCTTTAAAGTGACGCAAACCTTTTCTTCTAAATGTTATACAACATATTCGTGCTTGTGAACTCATGACTCTCTGCCAAAAGATTGTTTGCAAATGTGAAAATGGTCTTCACATTCAAGAAACTACTCTTTAGGAATCGGTTCCCTCCATTTATCCAATATGAAGTTTTAGGCAAGAACCACAAGTCAATTTATAAACTTCTAATATATCCGACACTGAAGTTTTGTCTTTATTGTTTTTAATAAATTAGTTTGAATTATTATTTGTTCTGTGGGTGATATTATTGGTGAATTTACCAAAGTTTGTCAAGTATGTATGTTTCTTGAAGTAGGATAGACCTTGGAAAGAATGGAGTCGATAATATCTAACTCATAACCGTTGCTGACAAAAATTCGTTTGATAAAACTCATTTCTCTCTGAAAATTACTTTCTGACAGTGGAATATTGAATAGTCTGTGAAGCATACCCATGAAAGCTGTTACTTTATGTTGATAGGATTGTGTCAAGGAATCAAGTATGACAACTGTCCGAATAAGATGGTTTGTGGAAAATTGCAGCAATCATTTTCATTATAAGTTTTGGTGATACTGAGGTCTAGGAAATTCATTGAATAATTTCAGCGGTAAATTCAACTGGCAAACGTGGTTTCTGTCTGGAAAACGCTCAACCAGCACAATTGTTTCGATACTGTGAAATGAATGTTGGATCTCAAACGATATTAATTTAGCATTATGAGGAACAGTTGAGTTTTCAATGTTACATACTAATTGGCGAAATGAAATTACTATATGGATATCATTTACTTTATAACATAACTGTTTCTTCACGCAAAATTGTTATCGTCCCAAATTCAGTTCCCAGTATTTTGCCAAAGGAAACCATTGAGCTGCTTGAGCGTCTCTTAGACAGAAAGCATGTTGATCCTGTAGTAAAACAGTACGGACTGGCATATGTCAAGACAGGGACATGACGCGCCCACCAAGAAACATTTTTGCCAAAGTTTGTAACTTTCGCTTCGGATCCCAAGTGAAACAATACTTGGGACGCGACGGGTTCAAATTGAAAGCGACTCTGAAAATCACTTCAAAATATTATAATTTCATACAATGGAAAGTGT